GAGGAACATTGTCACACATATTCTGAGCGTATGCGCTATGTATCTCAGATTGGATGTTCTGACCAGGATAAGGATGATTTCTGGGAGCTGTTACATGAGAAGACCGCAGAAGTAACATCAGAAGACAATAGAATCATGAAGATTGTCATTGTCACTGAGGAACATTGTCACACATATTCTGAGCGTATGCGCTATGTATCTCAGATTGGATGTTCTGACCAGGATAAGGATGATTTCTGGGAGCTGTTACATGAGAAGACCGCAGAAGTAACATCAGAAGACAATAGAATCGTTGGAAATATTTGATTCAAACAATCTCATCATTATAAACACGAAGTTTTGGAAACGCAATCACACCTAATGTCATTTGACAGCGATAACAACAAAACGCAGATAGACTTCATCATAGTTCGTCATCGTTACTAAAATTTTGTCACCAATGCGAAAGTCATAGCCTTACCAGACGATTGCCATGCAACATCGATCGTTGATCTCTGCTCCATAAAGTTGACACTGCCAAAGGAGAAGCACAACGAATGATGCGCACTGGAAAGTGTTAAATGGTGGCGATTGAAAGAACAACAATGCGCCATTGTTTTGTACTGAGGCAGATCAGCGGTCAGCAGATCATCCAACTGTCTCCAGTCATGATCAGCAGATCATCCAACTGTCTCCAGTTACGACCGTTAATGAAACATGGCAAAATGCAACTGCGGCAATCATTAAGAGGGCATGCTCCGAGCTAGGAACGACAAAACCTGATTGCCGCAAAATCCACAAGCATATATGGCTGTGAAGATGAAGATGCGCGAGAGAATGTGGCTTTATCACGTCTTTCTTGAGAACAAGACGATCGACAACTGGCAAAAATACTATGAAGCGAAGACAGCAATAAAACAAGCCGTACCCGTAACAAAAGCCACTTACTCAACAGGAAACGTGATACGTGAGAAGGTGAACGTTTTATTTATCGACTAGCAAAGTTCGGTCATAATAGAAACCGAAGATGTTGAAAAATTTTACGATATTAATGACAAACGAAGCTAACTTCTTATGGATCATAAAAATGTCACGAATATTTCGAAAAAAGTATGTACACAAGAATTTGACCATCCACCTATTCTCCAAGCTATCCCAACCTATGACCCCGTACAGCCTATCATTGCCGAAGAAGTTGAAACAGTACTGAGATGAATGAAGTCTGGCAAAGTAATTGATCCGGACGATGAGGCGGAAAAAGTATGGAAGTTAAAATTTTGGAACTCTCCTCATTGATTAACAAAGTTGTCCAACATGATTGTCACGAAGAAAAGACCTGATTATTAGCATGAAAGCATGACTAACTCAAATTTGGAAGAAGAAAGAACAGCCCCACCGATTGTGAAAACTACTGATTCTGTTATACCATAAAGATCTTTTATTAATAGATGCATTCAGCTCTCCAATAACCAGTGCGGATTTGTCACCTCCTGTAGTACTACCGATATCATTCATCCGCTAACTTCTTGCTAAGAAGTACTGCGAAAAACAAAAAGCTTTGCATTTTGTTTGCATAGAAGAAGAAGGCTTTCGATCGCATCTCTCACGATGCCATCTGGTATACTGTATGATGATGGCACGCTATATCTGAACTTATTGACTGGATTCGAATCCTCTATACCGATTCAAGTAACCGGGTGCAAACAGCCGTGAGAATGTCAGAGAAGTTTTCAGTTTCTGTAGGGATGCACCAAGAGGTTCAACCCTATCTCCACTCCTCTTCGTTGTTGTTATAGACGCTGTCACAAGAGAGGTGCTGTTGATGTCTTCAGTGTTTCCGTGCCCTGAATGCTGCTGTATGTCGATAATGTGATGTTGGTGTCAAATAGCAAAGATAAAGTTGAACAGCAAGTATAGGCTTGGAGTGATCTTCTCTGAACGTCAGAAAAACTATGTACTTTGTCAAGCGATGCAAAGTCTGGGTCTGGATTCTGGATCCATCAAAATTAATAGCACTAAGCTACCTGGGACAAATGCGTTCAATTATCTCAGGTCGATAACTTCTTTTGATAGAAGTCTTACTTAGGAAATCACCACTCTTTTCAATTTTGCATGGTCGAGGTACCGTTCTACGACTGGTGTCATGTGTGACAAGAACATATCCGATCATTTGAAGTCGAAGATCTATCATTCTGTCTTAATGTATTAGAAACAAAGTTGTTTGTGGGGACAGCACAGCTAGTTCGGTGGACAGCGGACAGCTGATTGCGTTTCGATCACCTTACGCAATGACGACATTCGACAATGGTTCGGCATCGCTCCAATTACTGACAATGGTATGGCCATACCCTTCGAGCCAGCAATGATTTTGCATGCAAGATTGTCATCAATCTCAACCTTCCAGGGAATCAATCAACCTATAGATCACTCGAAACAATACTGATCTAATAAGCTACGCAATAATATGAAGGCTGCTAGTGTACATTTCGACTAAATGTCAACGAATCAGGAAAGTGAACCCACCTGTAATTTAGAGCGGGAAAATGTCAAAAAAAAAAAAGACTCAAATTTTAAAAAAAAAGCCGGAAAAAGTTCAAAATAATTGACTAAAAGAAAATTTTATTTTCTAAAATTTTAATGGATAAAAGAAAAAAATTGAAAAAAACTTTGATTTCCTTTTTATTTTATTTTTTTTTTCAACAAAATAATTTTAAAAAGACAAATACGTGGAATTAGTCACATTTCTTCATTTTCTTTTTCTTTTTTTTTTTGCTTTTCAATTAACAAAAAAAAAAAAATATTTTGAAAACTTACAATGTTTTAATGTTAAAAATATATAAATGAAAGTTGAGAAAAGAAAAAAAAAAGTTTTTTATCAAAAATATTTTATCATAGAAATTATTGTTTATATATAAATAAAATTATTATTTTCAAAGCTATCACAATTATAACAAAATATTCTATTAAATGATTTTATTCTTAAAAGTATATTACGTAACGTAATACTTGAATTATAAAATTTTTTTTTTATTTCTACCACAAGTTTGGATAATTAAATCATTAAGTTAATTAAGGCTAAACAATATTAGCATAGCATAATCATTGAAGAATTATGAATCACAAAAATTAACGCATAAAGCTATTTCCAAAAAAAATGTCACCACAAAAAAAAGAATTTTGAAAATATATCAATCTAGAGAATAAAAGAAAGGAGGAATATCCTCATTCTTTCTATCTGTAGGATTTATATCTATTACATCTTTCAAGGATTACTTTGACAATTATAAAGATTAGCCCTTTTATTAGCTTATGCTAAT